TTACATACTATATCAGAACGAGATTATTCTGCTCAAGAAACATCGCATCTTCTTTTAATGCTTCCATTGGTTAACTCTTCCTATACATTTTTTACTCTTAATCTTAATGAGGATAGTACATTGCATGAACTAACTTGTAGTAATAACATACAAAGCAATAATAATAATGATAAAAATACAACTATTAAAACAGGATATTCCTATCTTCAAAACTATTGGAGTCACCCTTCTGATTTTGAAAGTAACTCTTTATTTAGTTTAAATAAAGATTTTATGTATGGCACACACTACACAAATGGAGCCCATGTAAAAAAAATTGTATTATTCGAATTTGGCCTTGGCCATCACCAGTTCGTTTTGGGCCAGCCTGGAAAGATTATTGTAGATTAAAAGTACTTCTTCATATTCCTCACCGAAATATGATGAACTTTCTTCAGGATGATGGCAAGATACAATGGATAGAAATATTTCAATAAAATTATATCCAAATTGTAGTAGATGGTAATGATCTTTTTGGTCAACTAGTAGATATCGAAGATGATAAGAAAGAAGATGAATACGAAGAGCTTGAAGAAGATAATTTTGAATTTCAAGAGCTATGGATGCGAATAGCTGAAAAAAGTATACAAGTTTTAACCAATAATTTGTTTGATCTTGGGGAGCATCCTATTAATATTGATCATATATGGCCGGGGTCTTTTGAGATATTTTCAAACCTTAATGATGCAGAAACATTTTTAGAATGTGCAAAATGTGGTCAAATTGAAACAATTTTTTATGATAATGATGAAGTTCACATTGATCCTATGACATTAAATGAAACACAAAAACAGATTTATGATTATGTAATAACACACTATTCTACAGTTCTTAAAGGTAAGACAACTAAGCCAATAGAACCCTTATATGCAATTGTTATGGATATAGCTGGTATGGGTAAATCATATGTTATTAAAGCAATTCGCAATTGTATGTGTGTAATGGCACAAGAATATGGAATTAATCCAGAAGAACCACCAATATTAGTTCTTGCACCAACAGGCATTGTGGCTTTTAATATAAGCGGCTGCACAATTTATTCTGCACTTTTAATATCTGCAAATTTTAATTGTCTAGAACTTAGTTCTGTATCTTTAAAAAAGCTTCAACAATTATTAAAAAATGTTAAAATTATTTTATTGGATAAGAAAAATATGATTGGTTGTAAACTTCTTGCAATAATTGACCAACGTTTATGCTAAGCCTTTCTACAAAATCAAAATATAATATTTGGAGGTTGTTCTGTGGTGTTTTTTAATACATAACATTTAAAACTATTGTTATTTATTTCTAAAATGCAAGACCTAATAATTAAGGCTCCAGCCTATAAAACGTCGCCGTTTTTCTAGTATTTAATTATAAGTTGGAATGGGGTTGCAGACCATCTATATATGCAATTTTTAGTTACAATATTGTTCAACCTTTTTTTAGGTTCAATTTATTTATATCGATTTAGCGATCTATATATTATCTACACGATTTACAAACTAATTCAGCTGATGAAATCATACTGCGAAACTCTATTGTAACAAAATAAATGAAGAAAATTTCACGATTAGGTCGTAATGCTAAATCTAATCAAAAGCTTTATGATATAATGTAAGAATTGGCATATATAATTATAAATATCGTTGTCTACGTTCCTGATTTTAGTGCGACAGCATCGCACATCTATTTTATAATGATAAAATTATCTTACATGTAAAAATATACACCGATCATTGCCGAAATCAATAACTTAATCGAATCGGCCGAAAAATCATTCGGCAAATTTTTATCAGGTGTCCCAGAATTTTTGAAAACAGCTGTAAAAACCAATTTGACCCGAAAATTAATATCACACTCAATTTCACACTTAAAGATGAAATTCCTAGCATATTCATTATTGTATGATAATAGCAATTGACTGGGCAATAGCTTTTCCTATTTTGTGGACAATAACAATATAACTATGATCACTTGATTTCAATTATCTCTCAATTACAGAAGTACCTTAAATTTAAATATATTATAAACTTACACTAAAATCTTAAGATAATATTGTTTTCTCTTACGAGATTTAAATTACAAATTTGAAAGTATAGTTGGTGCATTCTTATTACATATGTTTAACTCCTGACAGAAAAAATTATAAGTTTTACATTAAAAGTTAAATTGTGCGTATTGATATCCTAAAGTAGTGACAATATAGATCCAGTAATAGAAACTACTCCACAGTATCGCACATTAGTCAAAAAGTAAAAGTCATTTGTATTTACTAAATTTATTCGCACTTTCCAAGACTATTTTATTATTGTTCCTGACAAATTTTTATATGAGAAATGAGAGTTAAGAGGGCGGAATTATTTAACCTTTTTGCAGTGCAGATAATATTCAAAGTAATATGATTACATTTATTGTATTTATTACATGACTAACAATACAGCAGGGCGAAACTAATGTTTTTTTTTTTTAGCAGAGATCCATATGTTGTCCGTATATGGCCTATCTTACTGCACGGATATAGTGTGATGTACGATGTATGTATTGTCACAACAAGATTTATATTACTGTAGTAATCTTGTTAAATATATAACTTTTTGAAAAATGTGAATTTGTTATAACACAACGCTGCAACGCAGCAGATTTTCAACATTACCGTTAACTATATTTACAAACTGTCATCGAGATCTCCAAGCTACATATGGACCTTTTTGATGCAGCTCTTACCTAATACAATATCTACGTCAAAAAAGCAACCTAAAAACTTAGATTTAAGCTGTACGTATATGCGTGTCATTGTTGACAAATATGTTCTATCTCTATATTCTTAGGATATTCAATTATTACGTAAATACTTAAAAAGTCATCTTAATTTACAAACCCTTATTAACACTACTGTGTATGGAACATAATATACTTAGTCTACGATGCATTATTTTCCTTTTTATTTCTAGTTTTTTTTTTTTTATTTTTTTTATTCTATGTGTAGTCAATAATTGATATAAGCGATGATAATAGTATCCATTCAGGTCATAAAAATCTTATTTCTTCAGGACTTTTGAATTACCACGTCGGCAATCTGAATAAGAATTTAATGATTATTATTCGTCCATAACATTACTTAACTGTTTTATAATATAGTGTCATGGAAACAATTAAAGTTCCAGTTCGTTCTATTAGCCATATTAAAGGCAAAAATTCCTCTAAAATAAACGAGATTGAAAGACGCTCCAATGCTAAATGCACTATCAAAGAAAATAGTATTATAGAAGTGGAAGGCACAAATGAGGCTAGAAAGATTGCCCTTAACTTGATCAAAGATTGTGTTTGGAACAGTATTGCAGTTTATAATCACCCATTTGAAGCTATCATCGCACTTCAATCACCATTGACCAGATTCAATACTGTATTATTTTCAAAATATGAAGGTATCGTTGATAAGAGTAATATAAACAAGTCGTACTTCATTTTAGATAAAGGAAAAGAAATGAGCGAAGATGATCAACTATCTTTATTATTTGGAAATCTTAATATTGAGTACATAATAATCCCTTTTCATCATTTACTTGTATTTATCAAATAATAATAATATTAATAATAATATTGCTTTTTAGGCAGGCCAAAGATATCATCGCACCTGAAAAAGATAGATTTTCGGTAGATTTCATTACCAAACGGATAATAGAACAAACCATCAAGCAAGGTAGCAAGTCTTTTGGCTTCAAAGTTAGAGTAAATATCGGCAAGCAACTCTTTTATCCTGCAAATAGAGAGGTTTTGGAACTTCCAGAATCGATTCCTCTCCACGAACTTCTTAAATATGAGATCGGTTATAAAAAAGATGCTAAAACTACTTTTATGAATCATATTTCCTTGGAAGTAGCAAAGATTATTGAAAATCGCCTAGTTGAATTGGAATATCAAAAAAGTTCTGAAATTATTCAGAGAGCATCCATTCATTTAATTGATAATCAATCTGAGAAGCGTTTTATTGTTTCTACAAATATTACATCAGATGGTAAATTAATACTTCGAAAATTTAACGCTGAAACCAATAAAATCCTTTTCTACTCCTTTGCTGGTCCAAAATCTACCTTGGATTTTCGGTTCAAAATTCTTTCTCAAGAACCACCCATAACAAATTTACCTCCTGAACTAGATAATTCTATAAAAATTGCTACTTACAATCTTGAAACAAAAATTCTCATTTTAGAAGATACCTCTAATTACCTCTTCACAATTTCACGTATCAAGATTAAACGTATTTTTATTAAGTGCAAAGATAAATTTTCGAATGGTAAAATTAAAGTATCAATTTCTGAGGTATATGAAGATGGAATAAAAGATGTACAAGTAACTATAATTAGCGAAGCATTACAAAAGGTTATTGAAAAGATGGGTCAAACTAATATGATAGATGAAAATTTGAGATTAGAATGTGAAGAAGAAATAGAGAAGTTTGTTAATGAAGTGAAATCTATTGTGAATGAATTGAACTATGACACAAATGGTCAATATGGTCAAAATTAATTATAACTATTGTTAATCCTTTCTACCATCGATTTAACAAATATTAATACTATTTTGTTATTACAGTATGTAACATTTTTATAACTCTAAATAACTTTTATACATTACGGCACTAAGCCTTGAGTATAATGCTTTCGAGACATACCATATTATTACAGCTTTTATTAATCATATAGTGAAATAAAATTTATTGAAAAATAAGTCACTAATCGATGACGAAATACTTTCACATCTAGCTTAATTAGCTCGCGAAGATGATCACATATATTTTAACTAGGGATGGGTACCGGTACGGTCAATCATTTTCGGTTAACCGTTTTATGATCGTTGCTGTACTAGTACTAGTATTAGTACTGTATCTTGTGATCCAGTGATCCAATCGATCATCTGACTTGGATCACTGGATCACAAGATACAGCCAACGGTGTTACGACAAGGGAGAGACTTTATAAAGGTCCTGTCAATTCAACTCTGGTCGTAAGCATTAAAAGTAAGAAACCAATTATTTATTATTGCGTACAAGACACTAAAAGTACAAAGAAATATGTGCGATACAAGTAAGTATCTTCTAACAAGTGTACCCGGTACACTATATTCCTCTAAAATATCCCTTATTCCCAAACACTAAAGGACTCAAAAACTAAAGGACTCAAAAAACTAAAGAAGCACTTCCTACTGCTATCCCTATTTATATACATATTATTAAACTTAAATTAGCTATTCACTATTACGTAAATATAGTATAACAATATAAAAGTCTAATTAAAATAACCCTGTGACTACATTAAACTATAAGGTTACAAAAAGCTTATTTATAAATGTCACGTTATTTTTCGTAACAACGGTCATAAAACGGTTAACCGAAAATGACCGACCGTACCTATCCTAATTTTAACCCTTTAACCTAACCATTTAACTCAGTGCGGCCCACTTCGTAGATAATATTTTATAGACATCTTTTTCACAGACAATCAACTTACCGATAATTTATTTTACAGGCAATGAATTTACAGATAAGTTCATTTCATAGATAGTTATTTTACGAGAAGCTCGTTTCTTATCTCACCGACAGCTCATTTCACTAGACTATTAGGATAAATAAATAATCTTATAATCCCAGTATCTCAAGAAATATAAAAAATTTTTTTTGATGAGTTTGGATTTAAATGGATGCATCGAATTGTAGTGTTTGTTTTTAAGCACAATCTCATTGAAACCAGTTTAGCTGTTCTCAAATTACATAAAAGTTTTGTGTCACATATTTTATCTATAAAATAAGCTGTCAATGAAATTGACTTGTAAAATAAGGCGACCCCAATTTAATTCGGTGGTTTACATTACCCCCCCCTCCTTTTACCTCCCCCC